AGAGGCTGGTTTGAGAAATTCCGCAAGAGAAGTGGCATCCACAGTGTGGCAAGACATGGTGAGGCTTCCAGTTCTGACTGTAAGATTTGTCCCGTTCGACAGAGAAACTCCCGTGACACGTGTGGATTACAAAAGAGGATTACTCATGCGTAACGTAGCGGTCACAAGCAAAGCCAGGACTGGCTTGGTACATTTGCATTACTCGTTTATACTTCTCCCCTTCCCGCGCTTTTCGCCCCGCGATTGCGTTACTGCTGCGGATTATCGCCCCCCCAATAATCCCCCTTAATTGTCCATGATGGCAAGTTCGGCCAGGGTCCATTGTCCTTGATTGGCAGTCCCCTCCGGCGTGGGTTAGTTCCCCCCCGCTACGTGCAACCCCCGAGGTTTCTGAGTTGCGTGGTGATCTCGTTTCGCTGCCTGTGGCCCTGCTCATTGTTGGCTCGCGCCATTTATCAGTGTAGAGTAAAAACTTCTGCTGCAGTTTTCCTGTTTGGCTGGGCGCAGGTGGCCCATTAATTAGCGGCGCTCTCAGTTCCTCTTTCCCTCAGCTAGCCACCGCCAGCGGAGTTCGTGCAGTGCGGCTGCAAGCTTCCCCGAAGCGCCATGCCGGCCGAACCTGACACTGACAAGGCTGCTGCAGAAGCCTACAAGAAAGAATTTGAGGACTTCATGAAGGCGGAAGGATACGTCGCTCAGCAAGTGTTCAACTGCAACGAAACAGGGCTCTTCTGGAAGAAGATACCAAACAGAACCTACATCACGCAGGAGGAAAAGGCACTGCCAGGGCACAAGCCCATGAAGGACAGATTGACCCTTTTGCTGGGTGCGAACACAAGCGGCGACCTGAAGATTAAGCCGCTACTGGTGTAGTCATTCACAGACCTCTCGTGCATTCAGGGAACACAGTGTGAACAAGGCCAGACTGCCTGTCATGTGGAGGGCCAATGCGAGAGCATGGGTCACAAGGCAGTTGTTCATGGAATGGCTGCACGAGGTGTTCGCACCCAGTAAAAGGGTCAATCTGTCCTTCATGGGCTTGTGCCCTGGCAGTGCCTTTTCCTCCTGCGTGATGTAGGTTCTGTTTGGTATCTTCTTCCAGAAGAGCCCTGTTTCGTTGCAGTTGAACACTTGCTGAGCG